AGCTCGCGACGATACACGCTCGCGCCTGTGATGTACGTCACTGTCGTGCTCTCGAGGGCTCTGCTGACAGTGCTGATCGTGTCGTAGCGCGGGCCTCACGCTCGTTAATTGGTAACGAGTCGCACAAGTTGCCTGCTGCGTCGCGCTGCCCCACGGCTGTTTAATATCAGAGCGTGCGCGGGTTTGATTATGCCGCGCGACGCTGACCAGTCGTTCTATCTACATTTTAATTATTAGCCAGCGTCTCCCGACTCGCTACTCAGTTTCGCTACCCCATCTGCTTTTTTATTCATCTTTTTGCGGAATTTCTGATACATCGGGGAGTTGTTCAATTCCGCGCTGTCGTGATTCGGTTCTATATAAAAAAAAAAAAAAAGTAAAAGAAAAAGCAATCCCATCGGGTATACGTAAGAATTCGTCCCCCCAGGCTGTAGATATACGAGAGCTGTGTGTGCGTACGCGCTATCTGGAAAGTACTCGAAAAATCACCTCGGTTCGGAAAGACATTCATCTTTTCAAGTGCCACGCGAAAACTCGAGCGAGAAAAATGACGTCGATGTCTAGACTGACTACTGTTAGCGCGTATAACGATCTAACGCAGCTTTGTGTTTTCGCGCTCTCGAGGCTGCGATTTTGCGACGTTGAACTACTTTTCCATGCCGTATTATCGATCTTTTGCCACCAAGGCTACTATTTTCCAGGTGAAGCGATTCTTCTTACAGATTATCATAATCTACGTCCACTCTCTTAGCATTATATTTATCGTAAAGTGTCGTAAAGTGTATTATCAATGTTTTTCATAGCAACGTATCAGCGTTAAATTATTTTAAAGTAAACTTTCTTAAGCGAACCACTTTCATACAACAGTTTGCAAAAATTATCGATTCTTACAGCAGCATGCAGTTACTAAAAATAAGCTTGTCAAAAGTAATTCAAATTATAGTTTAGTCCCGAGCTGTTGAACAAAAAAAACCGCGTACTCGTAAAAGTCGTAGCCAGCAAGATCGGCATCGTAAACACGAAAAGGGCAAAAATAATGATTTTTGTTTTCTGCAGTCTGAAGAAACTGACTAATGCCGCGCTGCTAGAAGCAAAAGTTTTGTTAGTATAACAGACAGAGCGACAATAAAAAGAAAACACCGAGGAAAAAGTCGTGAAACAATGAGATTGCAAATGTGACGGCGGGCCGCATTTTTCTTTCTGTAAATGCATAAAAAAATAAATAAATCAATCGATGAAAAGAAATCATTCAAAATCTCTTTCTGTTGAGCGTTCATGCTCGAGCCGAAAATTCCGAATTTCCGAAAAGAGCCACACATTAATATTACTATTTACGGTAATATCCGATGTATAAAAAATTGTTCAGGTCTAGGCCTCTTGGAAATAGGATTTTGCGTGCAGATGGAAGACCCTCGCTTAAACAACCTAAACAAGCTAGAGATCGGTAAGATTTATCTACATTCTGTTTTCACGACGATTTTGCCCACTACGTATCATCTCAAAATTTACCATGTACAAGAATCAATCCAATCAGATACACAGTTGCGCCAGAAATCCACAAAAACCAATCGGAAAACGAGTTTTCTAACTTTTGTAAGCGAGTTCTTCGAGTAAGTACAATTGTTTAGGATAGCTACAAATTTTGAACCAGAAATAAAGAAAGAAACTGAAGTAACTTTCTATCTTTTCTTTAGCTTGCGATCCACCTCAAACTTCATTTCTTACGTGTGTAAATACGTACTACTGCCGTGTGGATCTATACACTTATCCTTGTGAGCTTTGTAGCTAACTTTAAATTATGGATTAGAATTGAATAGCAATGTAAATGAAAGTGGCACTAGTTTATTTGGTTTTTTGTTTTAACAACAATCCCAATCAGTTTAAGCGAAAAATCACTGCTTAAACGAGTAAAGAACTCCGAGATTGCGTTAGCCTCCTCAGACAAAGCTGAAGCTGTGACATAGCCACGATATCACATAAGCATTAAATGAGTAAAATGAGAAGGGGAACTACACAGGAGCCAGGTTGTCAGTATTTTTGGCAATTTGAAAATACTAATAACCTTGCTTATAGCTTCAGCAGACACGAAAGCTATTGAATAATCGTTGAACAATTAATGCGAGAAAGAGCTCTCTCTCTCTCTCATGGTTGGTGCGCAAGTCCGCAGCACTGGCTGAATATTCAAGCGATAGCCAGGGCAGCAGCTGGTGTGCTTGGCTGCGAGCGAGGGCTCGCATGAAAATTTCAACGCTGTATGTCTGCAAGCCTCTCTCTCACTCACTCTCTCTCTCTCTTTCTCTCTCTCTCTCTCTCTCTTTCGTTCGCTCGGGCTCACGTACGGGAGAACTTTTGGGGTGTACGTGGCCCCAACGCTAATTCCCAACGTCGATCTCTCTCTCTCTCTCACTCTCTCTTCGAGCAAGAGTACAGTGGCCATCCTCCTTGAAAGTTACGCGAAAAGTGGCTATTTGAAAATTTATGTACCGGGCGCGCTGATCGAACCTAATTACATGCTAGCAAAAGGTCCTTCACCTCTCGAGGACATGGCCGTTCGCGCGCGCTTTAAGCACTCCAGCATATAAACGGCCATCGTTTCGCCATTTTAGAGAGGCCCAATTTATGACTTTTTGGCACTATGGACTTCATATTTCCCCTTAGTCCGTTGGTTTTCCGGTTTTTCCATACGATACTCTTCTTCGATTTATACGATTTGTCCTCTCAACATAATGGTTTTAGAGCTCATTTCATGCACTGTCCGATTATCTTGAAATATTACAAAATTATCTTGGACACATATCTTCATCGATGCTTATCATGTATACAGCCCTATTCTATTTTATTCAATAATTAATGAATTCTCACAATCGGCTGAAGAAGAATAAACTATTTTTTCGAGATTCTCAATTAGAAGCAGAAATAATTAACTGAAGTCATGTATAATATTCAAGATCATTAATATCGTATAATCAAATTGAGATAACTATTTCTCGATCAAAACGTAATCAAATTTTCTCCGGAGCACTCTATCTATAAATGAAAAGGTGATAGCTTGCATACGGAAGAAAGAGGAGCGTTAAAAAGATAAAAAATCAATTCTCTTTTAAGTAAGTTAGTCGATTCAATTTTCTGGTCGTAATTCAATAGATCACGTAATATTGTAGCATAGAAGAATGACGATTGATCGAACAAACGATTAGTCGAATCTCCCTTTTTATCGTTGGATTTATAGAATAGTTGAAAAGACAGTATATCCCAGTTGCTTGGGGCATTGAGCAGTATCTAAGAAAAGACATGACGTAATTTTTTTTTTTGACCAGCTTTAAAAAGGACATCGCTGTGTATAGAGTTAGCGAAAGAGAGAGCGAAAGAGTCTGAGCAAGAGAGAGAGAGAGAGAGAACTATGAGGAGAAAGCAATAATGAAATCGGTTTTCGCTTAGTGACGTCTTGAAGAGCTTTATTAAATCCCCTGTCCACTTCTCAAGTTTCTCCGATCTCTCTCACACGTTTTATCCATCTCTCTCTCTCTCTTCATTTTTTCCTCTGTTTTAATTCGTATCCGTCTTAAAAAAAAAAAAAAAATAGGCTACCGGATCGATGGAATTAATTTTTCCAACGCTCCGAGCTGACAGAGCCAGTCTGGCGTGTTACGTCCCTAGAGGGCTACTCACAAAAATTTGTCCGTGCGCGCGCGCATGTGCATATAGAAATTTACGCACACGGACACACTCGTGGACACAGACACAGAGACGGATATAACTCGGAAGTTAATCGAGCACGGCGTGCCTCCGCGGGGAGTCAAATTAGCACTGCCGCCGCCGCCGCCGCCGCCGCCACTGCTACGTCGCCTCAGCCACTCCGTGTGATTTAATGGAAAGCCAGCCAATTCTCCCCGTCCACGGCGATTATTATCGGCGAGCCCGAATACTGGGCGTCAATCCACTTTCAACCAACAACGTACCGCCACGAATAATTTTAGAACTGTTATGATTGACAATATCAAGCCGACTCTACGAGATCGTACTGTCAGAGATTCCTCAACTCAATTACGTAGACGCGGTTAATTTTACTTCCCTCTCATCTGGTGTTACTAAACTAAAATTCAAGAATCTTCATGACGGTTTGTATCGTTTGGCAAATGGTAGATGCAGTTTGCTGTTATTTCAAACTTAAATTCGTCGAGGATACTCGGGAAGTTTTCGTGCATATGAAGGATGCAGGATTGCGTATTCGGGTGAATATTCACTTATAGCGCATCGGCTCTCATTTGGATATTTTCAGGGGGACTCGAGTGTACCTTTGATATTTTCAAGAGGACTCGAGCACATAAAAAAATGAACATTACGCGAATGAGGCATTTTCCTTTTGAATACCCAATGCATAGTTGGTGCGCGAGAAAGTGTAATTGTCGGGAGTGTAAGATGTATTTTGAATGGGTTGCAGGTATCGCAATAGGAATAACAGGGGAGAGAATTTTTAGAATTAGTGAAAACTAATTTGAATTTTCGTATATAAGTTTAAGCGACGCGAAGGTGTAGTTGGGCCCAAATGGTCGCGCCATCTTGGCAATGGAGGGGGAAGAGCGCGATCTAAGGGTTACCACCAAGAGTATCTACGAAAGGATATATTTCTATACCAACAAAAATAACATTAATATATCCAGCCGGTTATTTGCAGCGAAAAGCACCTGTTCGCTAATGACGAGATGATGCAAGAGACTGCAATACATTCAACTATGCGCGAAACGTCTTGATACTTTCGAAAAAGTAAAGTAGCTGAACGTGACGCAGGGAAGTTTTGCGAAACGCAGTTTGATCAGTTGATCGCAATACGCCAGGGTGGCACGCGGGTAGACACGCTCGCACGCGTCTCAGGAAGTTCGCGAAGCGCACAATAGGTATATTCACTGGCCTAGGATGCACAAAAATCAGCTGTCACTGCAAATCGCGCGAACGCGAGGGAAGGGGGGCGCGTCAAGGGCTGGGCAGGAGAGACTCACGACCTCGTTTTCGCGCAAGAGAGCGAGATGCAATATTTACAAGCGGCTCCATTCGTCTCGAACGCGGCCCAAAGCGCATCACCGCACACACGTCTCGGGCGTGCGGAATAAAACAGGCGGCAGGTCGACGAATAATTCAGAGAGCACTCGGTTTATTTCGCTCACTCGCCGCAACCAATCTGAGACGGCCGTAATGCGGTCAAGCGTGCGCGCTCGTGGCTACGCTGTACCACAGACCAAATGACAACAGCAGTTTCGGAGCGATTTTGCACTTGCTTGTCGAGCGACACTGATATCGATGCTCGCGCGCGCACTATAACGAGTACTACGAGCGGGACGCCGGCGCGTACGTTACACTCGCGCAGTGTTGCTGTCCACGAGCGTGCCGCGGCTCGACTGAGGCTTCCGCATCGACAACGGCCGACTCCAGACTGACTCGCTCTACTCGCGCCGCCACCGCCGGCTCCCTTCCCCACTACCGTCGACTTACTCTACTTCATACGACCACGCGGACACCCCGATGTCCGCGATGAATTCATCGGTCACCCTACTCGCTGACATCACGACAAACAATATTTTTCAATTTTTTTTAATAAACAATAATAATTTCAGCGGAAATAGTTTCAGATAAAACTTGTTCATTACTCTAAATACATTAATTTAGTTATAAATTAAGAAAAAAAGCACAACATTTTAACGTTATGTCGTGTTTTATTTGATTTACACGTCAAATAATGGTTTAAGACGAACCTTCACTTTTTCGAAGATTATTTATTAATGATCAATTTTTATCTAAAAATTTTTTTTTTAACCACAGAGCTAAATATAGAAAAAATATTAAGATTCAATTACAGTTTCATATCATTTAATTGTAAAACTAATGTATATCATTGTTAAATTTGTAAACCTTTTTTTTCTTCGCAGAGTTTCAGAATCGGACTGTTGCAGTGTTTGACTTTTGAAATCGATAGCAAATAAATTGATAAGGATTGGAAAAGAAAAAGATTTCACGTTATACCTTCAATTTGATTCAAGTACCCAAAATAGAACAAGTGATTGGCTTCGTCGCATACGTTAACCGCTGTTGAATGATTTATTTTACTTTCCGCTTTAAAATCTCTTTTTTAATATCACTTTACTACATATTTGAAAAAGAAAAATACATAATATATGTAAGATTTTTCCATCGGAGATCAGATTTCTCGGTTTTACGCCGTTCTCCCGTCGGACGAACACTGGCGTTTCACACGTGTAGAAAAATAATTGTTCATACTTAGCTTGGCCACTCGAAGAGATAGAACTTGGGTCTTTCCCCTCGCGGGCATGAGCTGAAAAAAGAAAAGAAAAGAAAAACCCAAGAGCTAACGCACGCGAGCGATGCTTGATAACATTTTTTACGATTCTGTTGGCGTGGACGTCTTTTTTTTCGTCTTCCCGGCGCGCTCGTTCGTGCATCTGATTGTGCTCGCGGCCAAATTTGGAAAGGCTAACGCGCGGTCGTTTCTTTTGTTTTTATCAACCGAAAGGTGCTCTGAACGATAATGGCATTTATTTATGACTCTGGATGCGTATCGATTGCTTTTATTTCAGCGTGACGGTGGTATGCCCGTAGCTGATGAAGAATTAATAAGCAATTGAATTGGTTGGATCGATAGATATAGTCCGGACGATTTGTCAGTGCATACGCTTGTAAATATAAAGCGGTAAAATAATATGGGGAAAAAGCGCGCTGTCAAGACGTCATTTGCTTCTGGCTATTTTTCATTAATATATTTACGGAAATTGTTCCGTTGTACGTACGGGCGAATTCATAGAGCTAACGAGATAAAATTTTCGATTTGCGATGAAAATAGTTGTAGCCGAAACTTTGGACATGGGTTTCCGCTCTGAAATGGAATTCAATATTACTCTATTGATTTGACAGTTGTTATATGCAGGAATAGAGTATATTTCGTTCATCCATCAATTGTGTTTTCCATCAAGACCATCGAGTTTTCGATCATCGATTCCAAACGATTTTTCGAGGCGTACCTTGTGTAAATATTGAAAGAAAGTAGTCGGAGTATGAATACCGTTCCCAATTCAATTATTTTGAATACGCAATGGATTATTAAACAGATATGAAACTAATCATGATTTATTTTCGAATGATATGAGGAAAATACGTTTTTAATAGAATCTCAAATTACTGTAGTATTCATCAATATTAATCAGTGTCAACGCGTCAATTCTTTCGGGAATTGCACTGCATTCATTTTCTAAAAAATGCTAGAATAAGTCAAAACAATACAACGTTGTCATTTTTATACTGAAAAAATATTCGCTCAATTCAGCGAGAGTATGGCAATATTCGCTGATATAGGATAAAAAATACGAACGAGAATGCAATTAATATAGCGAGAATAATATGCTCACGGCCCTGTGACTATAGATCATTTAAATGGGAAATAGAGAAAGAGAGAGGGAAGTTTTCATGAGTGCTTTCACTTGCTCCGAATGTCGTGGATTTTAGCCTTTGAAATTCGAAATTAAAAGTTTCGCACTGGTAATAAGCCGCCATTATTCCGGCTCGTCGCCGAAACAATAATTCTCTTGACTTACAAATCACCCAAAATCTCTCTCGCACTTTGTCAAGTACACTTTCCAAAAGTAAACTTTTGTAATAAGCCTCGCTGGTCGTCTTATTTTTCTCCCTTGTCCCTAAAAGTTCATCAGCAATCTTCGCCAAGTAATTAATTATCTCGCCGCATGATCGTCGACTACGCGCACGCGCTAAGAGGAATTCTGAAGGCTTCGACTCTTTCGCTTTTCCCTTTTGCCTGGCGTGGTTTGGTTGTACGTGCCAAGCAGCTCAATTTGCATGAGCCGAGCTCGCTTGCTCACGGCGTCAGAGACCAAGAGATATGCCTTTCCTGTTACGGCGACTGCGACGACGACGACGACGACGACGACGACGATCAAGGGGAAAAGGAAGTCACCGCGTCGTCGTGACTTCTGCTCTAATTGCGCGAGCTCCGCCTACCGGAGCGCGGCTCGGCGCGCGCCCGCGTCTACTGCTCCGCGCGCATGAACCAGACAGAACGGGATCGAGTGAGCTTCTCCTATGGCTTTGCCGCGCTGTTTCTTCTTTTTTCTTTTTTCTTTTAGCCAAGATAAAGACCTTCTCTACGTATATATGCCGCCGGGGCGAAAATAGACGCGAAAATCGATTGGAACGCTCGCTGTGTCAGAGCGAGTGCTAAGGTGTATCTATAGTGCGCACAGACGACGGGACTCCCGAGACATGATCGATGTGTCTTACAGTGGCGCGCCAAACGCCAGTTGATTGATTTCACGCCGGAGCTGACGAGTTGCGCCGGATCGCGCGGCTCGCGGTCTTTTCCAAAATAAGCCCATTTTGGCCGGCGGGACACTATTCATTCGCGAATCGTCGGCGCTGCCTCAAGAGACAATGAAGCCCGCGGAGCAGCGGCAGCCAACGATTCCAGCCTCGAGCCCGCGTCTACCGAAACAAGCGACTTTCTCATTCGTCAGGATCAACCGTGCGGCCGTACGCGAACCAGAGCCTGCGTGGCGTTTTAATAGCAGGCAGCGAAGTGCTGCGGACTTGGCGCGGAGCTGCGCGGCCAATTTACACAGAGCCGCGCGTCGTGCGGTATTTACGAGAACCTGCCGCGCGACCTTTTTTTCGCTTTCTCCGAGTCCCGGGCGCTCCCGGCCGGCAAACAGCGCGCCAGCGACGGCGAGAATCTGCTGCTCTCGGCTACTCGCGGACCCTCATAAATTAGCTGCGGCCGCTGGGCCCTGCCAGCAACGTGATGCATTGCGCCAGCGCCCCTTGACAGATATACCGGCATTAGGCGTCGTCGTACACCGGCGCACCGCTAGCCCAGCCTAGCCCAGAGGATCAGACTCGCGCACAGAGGCGGCGCGGACAAAGGCGTAGCCCCGATGGCTTTGCCATTTCGATAGCTATCCGAAACTGCTTGCGGCTTTGTTGCAGCTTGCGAGTGCCTGGAGAGATCCTGCTATGATTATACGCTTGATACGCCTTGGCGCCGGAGCTTTGTTGCTGTGCTTTTACTGGGCGCGCGCCGCCGACTCTGCTTCGAGCTGAATGCTTTGACGAGGCAGCTCGCGGAACGCATGGGGAATGGCGAGCGATACCGCTAATCACGCATTCGCTTTCCGGCCAAAGCACTTGGCTTAAGGCGCGGCTGCGTTGCTCTGTAGCCTCCATTTGTCAACTTGACTCGACTAGCGTGGAGCGGATCCATTTCAGCGCGCCGAAGATCAAGTCCTCCAAGTTTATTTCATCGATCGATCGGCCGCACGCGGCGACATTGTTTTCCGCGATGCCGGAAATATCTCAAGGCGTTTCTGCGAGGTAGCCTCGTGACGCATTCGCAGTTTTCGATCGCTGAATCAAGATTAATGAGAAAACAGCGATGGCTAACGAAGCGTGAGTGTCCTGGTCAATTGGCCGCCGTTGCGCCGAGAGAACGCCGGCCACTTGTCTCACTCTGGCGCTCAGCGGTGTCGCTTGACTTCCGCGCGGACTTGGCTTTGCGTTATTTTTACCCGACTACGACATTGGTTTTCGAAACGCGTACCCGTAAGCCCGGTCAACTGTTCGTTTATCGGCAGCGCACTCCCGTAACCGTAAGGCGGCAAGAGGAAATTCGATTTTTCGCTCCAAAATGAAGCCATAAAGTGGCCCTCCTTTGAATTATTGATGAATGAGCCATCGGAAAATCAATTTTAAGAGCACGCATTAATCACGAACAATGGCCCGCTTAAAATTGCTAGTCGATTATTCAGTGCTACAAGTTATCGCGGCTACAAATATAATTAATGTCTTTTTTTCAGCTTAATGAGAAATTCGGCGTTACGTGCCTTTCGAATCCACTTCGTCATGGGTATAAATGGATTTATTCCATAATAACGATAATAACGGCACGAGCCTGGACTGAGCTTCTAGGTGAAAATATTCATTTTACACTGAAAATACGAACAGCATTCTCGCATTTGAGTGAATAGTACCGTTGGCGATTTATCTACATTTTACGAATTTTCAGCAGACCACTGAATAAAGCAATTTTCTCTTTTTTCTCGCTCTCTGTCGCTCACTCGCGCAAACCCCGTGAAACGCGAGCCAACTATCGAAAATGCGAAAGAAGTTTTTTGTCTTGAAGAAATTAACGAGAAGAAGGGAGAGAGAGGCAGAAAAGTTCATACTCGGGAAAAGGCCAATCGAATGGAAAGACAAAGAGGTTTTATTCGTCAACTTTCCGCTCAGAGTTCTCGCAAAGAGCAAAAATCATCCTGGCCGGTGGTGTTCCTCGGTTGGGCTGTCGAGTCGATTTTCTCGCGCGTGAAGCCCAGCCACGAGGAAACAGAG